TTTAGAGAATATCTTAGATCCTGAACAAGCATGCTTTAGATCAGGATCAGTGGGCAATTCTGCACCATTTAGCTGAAAGGTATTACTAGCTTAATGTTGCTTTCATTTATTTAAGTCCTTGAGAGTATATGAAGAAATGACCTGCAGCATCCATTGATCATCACTTGTCAAATTGATAATTTTGCTACATCAAGATGCAACACAGGTTAGAGGCAATTGTATAATGGCAGTTTAACAATTCTGTCCACAAAGTGGTCAAACAGTGCTGTAAACTTGACCCCTTATTGTTTAACTCCTAAATAAATGATATTGATGTAGCTATTTTTAAACCAGTTCCACCACCCCAACACTTGCTTGGCTTGGCTTTCTAAGAAAGACATGGAAAATGCTGGATACTGGCATTTTATATCAATGGCTGCCTAGTCATAATTGGTGATCAGGAATTATGACGAGAGATTCAGGATAATGGCCAAGTTGCAAAAAACTATTTTTAAAATGTACAGGATAGCAGCAGCAATTACTTCATTCCTCCATCATCCTTTCACATGCTCCTTTTCAGTCATTAGCCAAACACCCTGAATCTCCCCAACATACCGCTTCTTTGCTTATACCTGATACAGGCACCATTTGAAGGGGTGAGAGGGAGATTATTAGGCTGAAGGCAAATAAAGAGTGAAGAAGAGAAATAAGAGGCAGTTAATGTTTCATTAGAGTACCAGTTTTTAGGGCTTGCATGCTGTCTTTATTCTCTGCTAAAAATTCTACCAGATAGACAAGATAAGCATCTCATATCTGAGCTCTGGACCAATGTTACTCAATAGCTACATTTTCTATTAACTACAGTGTTAAAATCTGCTCTTGGCTGACATCAATAAACCGGGATAGTCACCAAATCTATACAGGATTATACAAATCTAACCTTTGATTAACAAAGACATTTCTGGCACTCCTGTTGCTGTGGTTAGGGAAATCACTGCGGTCATTAAGCAAAGACATGACATGGTTGCCATTTGCAACCTTCTGCCTTTTTTTATTGGAAATCAGCAAATAAGGTCTGAGTGCGGGATGCTACAACGGTAGGAATTCCAGGATTAGGGAAAAGTACTAGTGGTTCAGTGGTCTCACATGTTCAAATGGTTGCTAAATGAGTGGTTGTTAAGCAGGAAGCACCTTAAGCATCCATTAGACTGCCAATTATGCCACTTTGTTCCATTTGTAACAAATATAACTTGGTTCCGCAAGCTATAAACTCATGTTGGTGACATTTTAGTTTTGTGAAAATATTAACAACTTTGATTTGATTTTAGGCTTAGCTGGTTGATATATTTTAGATAGCTCATATGGCTTTTATCTCCAATTTTTATATTGTATTATATAATTTTATTTGTCATGCTATCTCATGGCTTTGTACTTCTGTTTGTTACATTGATTGGTCATTTAATAATACTATAAGTCTTAATATAAATTCCTTGAAGAATTCAGAGTGTTTTGAAAAGTTTAAGTACCCCACATAACATTGGAATAGTGTCTTTATTTTTCTTACATTATATGTCTTGTTTTTATTGTGTAATAACTTTACACAATAACTTTACGCTCAGAAAAGCTGCGGCCAAAGCTGTTCATGAAAAGATGAATCTGGCTTTGTACTTAAAAGTTCTCAGCCAATTCAGATGTGATACCAAAAGCCTCCATAAGCACTTTCCTTTGCTGATTTTCACATAACCAGCTGTCACTTTTAAAGCATCAGTCAGAATGACCCAAGAGGTCAAAACCCAATCTTCAAAAATGGGTTGTCATCTTTTAAAATAGAGTGATAATGTTTTAAAATAGTTCCTCCATCCAGTTTTCTGTGTAAGACCACAAGCCTGGATATTTCAGTGTAAAAGTGTGCCCCTATGAATTGGGGGTAAGGACAATTGCTGGGAAAGGTTTCCTGTGAAATGTTAGCAATGGAGGAAGGTGTTGGTAGGTTATGCTCTCATTCACTATGTGACATTTTTCATAACTTGATGGCTTTGCCTGGAGAAGCCTGGTAGCTCCTGTGATCTAATCCCACTCAGTATTGTTGCAATTTTCAGCATAGAGGTACTTTCATCAATGCAATAAAATTCTTTCTCCTTTAAGAAATATTTGGTGGTAGTAGTAGTGCCAGGTTATATTGACATTGGCAAGAAAATGTAACAAATGCTGTTTTTGCTTTTAAAACAAGCTTTAAAAAAGTTTCAATTTTTTTTGTAAGAATAAAAACTGTACCAAACTCTTCTAGAAATGTTTTCTGCTGGAATGTTAAAATTTTCTTTTTTTTTTATTAAACCAGAATATTTTTTCTTTAATTGTGCATGTTACTGACATAAAGGTATTGTACCATGTTTCCTGCAATTATCGCTTATTTTACTAAGACAAATGCATTCTCAAGAAAGTGATAGAAATGTTTGATTTCCTTTTCTTGGTTTTCAGTTTTTTAGAGCAGTGTTTCTCAATCCCAGCAACTTTTAAGTCATGTGAATTTCAACTCCTAGAATTCTCCAGGTTGCATATTGACTGAGGAATTCTGGGAGTTGAAGTCCATATGGCTTAAAGCTGCTGAGGTTTAAAAACACAATCTTAGAGCACTGAAAACAGACGGATAGTTGAATATTCATGTTAGATATAGTAACAAAGGGAAGGAAAGCAATGTGAATAATTGCATGGAATCCTCTTGCAATTAAATCGAAGGCCCAGCCGAAGTGACTGGACTGTTTGCACTGTTGAGAATAATACCTGCAGATCCTACGCGCCCTCCCGCGGCACAGAAAGTAAGTTCAGAGAAAGAGAAACAAATGGAGGGAGCAGTGATTCTCCAGGTTGCCGTGGCGACGGAAACAAAGAAGAACGCAAGGTGCGCTCCCGAGCACCCGCTTTTCTACAATTGCAAGCTGAGGCGTGAGGTCGGGGAAGCAGAGCTATTCTCGCGCAGGATGGTCGAGCCACGATCGGGTCAGTAAAGGGAACACCGTCACTCTAAATTAAAGTGCCGCCGTCTTTCCGGGTAGAACCTGCCCTCTATTGTGCATTGCAATTATGACACCTCGCAGAATGAGATCCAGTTAATGCACAGAATGGATTTCCGCAGGAGGGGAAAGCAAAGATACTATTTTTGACTTGATTTAAGAAAAAAGGTCTTGAAGGGCAAGTTATAATCACTCTCCTGACTAAATAGATCCCTCTCGCAGGAGGAGGGATCGTTCAATTTTTTCCCCCTTCGTTTAAAAGGCAATAAGATTGTAACGATTCCACCGCAAGGGAGCACTTTGCACAGCTGGATGGATTTTATGGAGGTCATCTTTCATTTTACCATTTGAGCGTAGCTGTCATTTTTCATTGTTTACAAATTGGGTGCAACAAATGTATTTAATGCTACACTTAAAATGCTATACTTAAAAAAAACCAATTTTGTAACTTTCTGAAAATCCCATTAATAATTTGCTTATCAATCCATGTAATGCTCAGTAACTTTTTTTTTTTTTACTCTTTGGGAACTTAGGAAGGCCAGAAGCAGTGCTAATAGTTCTGTGCAACAAGCCTTGTCTTCTGAAATCTAGAGATAACTGCTAGTCTTTTTACTTCTTTTATTCCTACCCATGTACTATTTAATTTTTTTATTGCTGTGATAGCTAGAATTTATATTTCTGACCTTGCCACTTAACCCCCAACTGATAATTAACTAAATAAAATAGTTCCCCCCCATCCCCTTGTGGGGCAGCCATCCAGAAAATCTTTTAGAAAATGAATTTATTGGGCTTCACATTTCAGAAACAATGTAGGAAAATAGTTTTATGGTAGCCAAAAACTCAGAGATTGGTAGCACCATTCTGATTTAACAAATTTTATTAAAAGGTACAAGGTTTTGTGAACTACAGTTCATTACAAAATTATTAGAACCAAAACAGTAAAAACCAGAAGAAAAATACATCATTTGTTGAGCAAAACCCTTATTTCAGCATTATGTGAGATACCTGAAAGTTTAAAATAATCCTAATTCCTAGCATCCCAGAATATATTACTATAGTTTAGATTGGATTTGGCATTTTTATCCAGAGACCAAGTCCTTTCTAAGGTCCTGGAACAGGCAGATGTTGTTATTTGATGGTGTTAATGGTATCATCTCAGGATGTTCATTGTTCTAAGTAAAACTGCTTTTTGCAATTGACTGATTCTGATTTTGTCAATGCTAATGATGCTCAAGTGATGCGCCAGATATTTGGGGATTATTATTATATTTCAATTATCAGCCAGTGTTACAAACAAATACAATCATGTAGACAGCCCAACAAATAAATTATCAAACTATTAACCATGCCAGAAAAGTTGTACAAAGGGCATATTATATGGAATAGATTGCTGGCACTTCTCAGGGCCATATATATATGAATCCATAGAGCAGGGGTTCCCAATCTGGGGTGCTCCACTCCCAGGGTGTGCAGGATAGAATTTCAGGGCATACAACAAAGAGTGGCTTGTGTTCCTTTGTGATGAGTCATGAGTCACAATTATTTTTGTACAGGGTGCGAACATTAGCAAACATTTCCTAAGGGTGTGGGCCATAGAAAAGATTGGAAACTACTGCCATAGAGGATAATATACTCTTTTTTTTCATTATAACTTATAGAACATATCCTGTTTAAGGTGCTGAATATGGGAATCATGCTAGTATTTGCAGCACAAAACAAAAGTCTTTTTGATACCTTAAAAGCAAGTGATAATATTAGTTACGATGGCTTATGCAAGAATATATTAGCAGTCAGGATGCTACATGTCTCTTGGATGTTTAATGTAAGCAGACCTAGTTGTGCCCTTTGGACCTCAAAAAACTCAGAAGTTCCATGCTGGCTAAGTTCTAAACATTTATAAGACTGTATAGTTAAACAAAACCACATTTTTTGTTGTAATTCCTGGCATTCTTATGAGTCCTTATTAGCACTTTATCAATAGGAATTTTCATTGCTAGGACTGCAGTTCCTGGTGGCCATTTTGGCAACATCATACAGAGGAAGAAGAGGGGCGCGGATTGTATTATGGGACTCCATGTGCTATCTCGCTGATTTATTTCCCACTCCCAAACATTACAGAATTACTTACAATATATAATTAATCATGGAATGTGGACATTTTCAGATCCATTTGTTCCTTTCTGCTTCTTTTGCAGCTACTTCCTATGGGTTTTATTCAAATGAAAGGTAAGATAAAACCATCAAGCTCCCATCTCTTGAGTAGTTACTTAAATACATTCAGGAATTGCAGAGTGATATCCGAAGTCACACATTCAGACTTCAGTTTACAAAACAGGACATGCCTCTCCTTTTCTGATCTCCTCCCCAATATTTGGTTCAGAAAGTCTGTAGAAGTGCGTTTGACGATGTGAAGGGATTCCAGAAAGGGGGGGGAAATTATCTTGTCTTTTCCCATGATCAGTTGTGAGGAAAAAAACTGAATGCATTTATCTTATCTTCTCTGGTAACCAGTGAGTCTTCCAGTGTGCACGATGTCATAATTATTTGCCATCTTTCTGCAGTAGCTGAAAACATATGCGTTACCCCTAGTATATAAAGTGATGATATTTATATGGGCTAAGGAGGTTGATGATGACTTCACAATTTTTTCTTCCTCAACACAATGCTCATAGATGTCAATCAGTCTTAATTATGTATATCAGCTATTGTAACAGAAGCAGAACTGGAGAGAGCTGCTGACGTTCTTCCTCATTGTCAGCTTATCCATATTTACCTCTCCTTTATGTGCATGAGACAGGGAGATTGCACAGAAGAGTCAGGGACAAAGAAATACTATCCATTTTAATATTAATCGTTTGGGATATAACAGCCATATAATTTGTATAAGGAAGGTTTCACAGTATTAGTCAAAACAAAGGGAGTGTCAGAATGTTGACAATACCTGTTTGACATAAATTTAGACTTAGACTTAACCTTAATTGCTTAGGTGATTACAGTTAAATTGCTGCACATAAGAAAACTAGGTTTTTCTAGTTTATCTAGGTTTAGACCAGCAGTTCTCAACCTATGGGTCGCGACCATTTCACGGGGGTCGCCAAGCAAGGCTGCCCGCCATTTTTTTTGTCCGCCATTTTTTTGTCCGCCATTTTTTTCCCCTTTTCCGGCAGGTGCCTTACCTCCCTTGGGCTGGGCCAGCTGGTGGCCAGCCTGCTCCGTCTCTGCCGCTTGCCAGCTACGCCTCGGCCGGCGCAGGGGGCGGAACCACGCATGCGCGGCACTCCCAGGCAGGGAAAGTCCTCGACTTACGACCAGTTGGGTAGTCCTCGACTTACGAGCGGTTTAGTCCTCGACTTACGAGTGGCTTAGTCCTCGACCTACGACCGGTTTAGTCCTCGACTTACGACCGGTTGGGGGTCGCGGCATTAAAAAGGTTGAGAACCACTGGTTTAGACAATAATCATTCTAGTTTAGTATTTTATTCTAGCCAGTTTAGTGGGTGGAACTGCACTTGAGTGGTGAACAATAGTTACATTTTTGGATCCTGCCTTTTTTCTTCTCTACATAGGATAGTTGATCGCAAAGGAAATGGTTATGTGTTTGGGGAGAAAAATTAAAAATTAACTGAACACTCTGGGAGGTGGTACCCAGAGGCCCCTAAATTCTGTCCTACCACACATTTTGTACAACAACTGTTGGTTATTTTTCCCACCTGGATGTGATGCTGGATGGGAGAATAAAGGGCAACAGGGAACCCACCAGTAGCTGATCTGAAACTATCCCAAATTAAAATTTGTAAGACTGCAATACTGCAGGATTAGCCTTTTAGCTTGAGTGTAATAACGGGTCTATGACAACTCGCCACGGCCAACTTGCCATTGTCAATTCACTGCAGGACAACTTGTCATAGCTAACTTGCTGCAGGACAAGAGTTACACTGATATGAAAGAAATAGTGGATTAGATTCATTAAAGAAAGGATGCAAAAGGAGGGGCCAAAAAAAATGTGAACTGCAATTTTTTTTAAAAAAATATTTATTTTAAATAATTAAATAGAATTGTTAAATTGTCCCACAGCAAGTTATCTTACAACGAGTTGACCATGATGAGTTGTCCTGCAGCAAGTGGGCCACAGCAAGTTGGCTGTGGTAGTTGGTCATGGTGAGTTGGCCACAGCAGGCTGGCTGAGGCAAGTTGTCCCATTCCATCTAGAATTTTAGAATAGAATAGAGCTGGAAGGGACCTTGGAGGTCTTCGAGTCCAGCCCCCCGCTCAAGCAGGAGAACCTATACCATCTCAGACAAGTGACTGTCCAGTCTCTTCTTAAAAACCTCCAGTGATGGAGCGCCCACAATTTCTGAAGGCAAGCTGTTCCACTAGGTTAATTGTCCTCATTGTTAGGAACTTTCTCCTTAATTCCAGGTTGCTTTTCTCTTTGGTCAGTTTCCAACCTTTATTTCTTGTCCTGCCCTCTGGTGCTTTGGAGAATAATTTGACCCCCCTCTTCTTTGTGGCAACCTCTCAAATACTGGAATATTGCTATCATATCTCCCCTGTTTCTTCTTTTCTTTAGACTAGCACTAGCCAATCCCAAGTCCTTCAGCCCTTCTTCATATGTTTTAGTCTCCAGGCCTTGGATCCTTTTAGTTGCTCTTCTCTGAACTTTTTCCAAGATCTCAACATCTTTTTTGTAGTATGGTGACCAAAATGGGTTGCAGTATTCCAGGTGTGATCTCACTAGGGTTTTATAAAGCGGTACTAATACTTCGCGTGATCTTGATTTTATGCCTCTGTTTATACAACCCAGGATTGTATTAGCTTTTTTGGCTGCTGCTGCACACTGCTGGCTCATAGTCAAGTGATCATCCATTAGGACTGATAATAATAGTTCTCCTGGGCAAAGTACATTGAGGTCACTACAGTATAATGTTGACTCCAGGATAGAATGTGGGTGTCCAAATGAGCCCTAACTATGAGCAAAAAATCCCATTCCTTCATGCACTGGAGGTGTTCCGCATTGTACACTCTATTTAATATACAATCTGGAACTACAAGCTTTGCTAGACTTGAGATAAATTCTTCTGACACAACTGCATATCTCTGTGCTGTTATGTCAACAGAGAGACATCCTTAGCAACTAGCCATCACTTGCCTTAATTTATTGCCTGTGCTGCTAATGGTTGAAGGAGGAAGATCTTTCTGTCTCTTTCACAGTTTCTATCACTGCCTGGGAGAAAGATTCTTCCTCCTTCCATGGTAGTTTTTCTCAAGCTCCTCTCTGTTAAGAAAACATCATTATGAACTTGAGGGTGGTGTTTGGTTGGCAAAGAATGTTTGTCCTTGAACAAGTCTCAGCCTGAACTGAAGGGCTACCACCCCAATGCATCAGTGCCTCTCAATGAAGCTTTTGCCTAGAAGCAAGTTTTATACATGGTAGAATACAATTGGAGATTAAATGTAATCAGCTAAATGTATTACCTGGGTTTTTGTTTCAAATGACCTTGCAATAATAATGCATAATCTCCTTGTCAAATATGCATCTCTCGGTGCTCCCAGAGCAGATCAGTAGTAATGGAAGTTAAAGATCTGGAGGGATGTAGCTTTGGCCCTTGCACTTGATATAATTAGATGCAATGCATAGTTGGAAGTTGCTCAGTGGAACTGGGAAGGTTTGTCAGATTGTAAAGTTTTAGAGAACTGACCTTCCACTCGGTCACCAAGTAATGTTTTAAAAATTGTTTTTTCCAGGTTACAAGAGCTTGCAAAACCAAAGCCAACCAAAGATGTATGGAATTTTCATCGGTGAGTTAGATATCAAGGTATAGATACAGATATACATGACAGATTACAACCATCTGTTTAGCAACTAATCAAAGTAACAATGGCACTGAAAAAACTGACTTGTAACTGGTCCTCACATTTACGACTACCAGTACTGCAACATTCCCATGCTCACCTGATCAAAATTTGGCTGTTTGGCAACCAGCATGTGTTTGTGATGGTTGCGGCATCCTGGGGTCATGTGATCACCATTAAAAGAAAATTGTCAGAAATGTCATTAAGGAAAGATGGATTCGCTTAATGACTTCATGATTTGCTTAACAACTGCAGTGATTAACTTAACAACCATGGCAAAAAAAGGCTGTAAAATTGGGCATGAGGCATTTAACAACTGCATTGCTTAGTAATGGAAATTCTGGTCCAATTGTGGTCCTAAATCATGGACAACCTGTGGTCTTTAGAGTGTGTTTTAGGTGAGTGATCAGAACATTTGACATTTTCCAGTGTATGTTGTAAGTACATTAATGAAGTGGATGTCATAGGGCCTCGCCTATTCACAGGGTAGATGAGGCCTTAACAGAAAGCCCCATTCATTTGCAATCAAACCAATAAGGTGGCTGCTTGTTTGTCATGCTTCTTAACTCCCCAAGTTACTCCTTAGTACTCCAATTTACTTCTATCTTTTTTTCAGAATACACTTGAAAAGAAAGCATTGGGCTCTATTATTCATTATTACCATTTTCTAAAAGTGACTTTAGACTTTATATCAGTGTTTTTAAAACTTGACAAATTAAGATGTGTGGACTTTAACTCCCAGAATTCCTTAGCTGGGAATTCTGGGAGTTGAAGTTCACACATCTTAAAGTTGCCAAGATTGAATATGGAGTTCAGATGGTACTTGAAAATTGGGGCTTGATTCTGCAGCATGCTTGCACTATGTTTTGCTTTAATTAAAAGAATCTAAACATACATATACAGACATATAAAGTAGAGAGCTTGGTAGGCATCAAAAGAATATACCAGAGCACCTGGGTGACTATAATTACCAACTTGCCTAACCCTTCTTTAGCAAGTACAGTATTATACAGAACAATTCAGATACTTTATTCAGTTGACTTACTTCCTCCCTCTGGTTTATTTTTTTAGCTACAAAAGGCTATTTGCACTAATAATACTGATCACCTGTAGAAAACCGGTTAGTAGCTACTTTTTCTGGTTATCTACCAGTGCAGAGTGTAAGACACATTAATCTTTCTGCTGACACACCTGTTTCAAGATCCCTACCAGCTTGCAATGGCTTCTTTTAGTATATAAAAAAATAAAATTATAGTTTCGGTATATTAAAATTTAACTTAGTGAAACTCCACCCTTTTTAATACCTCTTCAAGATCAGTTCAGGTAGTTTATTCCTGTATAAATATATTGTACCAAGAACTGTTTAGTTTATTAGTATGTGGAGATGAATCATGCAGTGCTATTGGCAACTGTTCTTCCTGTACTATAGCCCTTTTCATTTTGTATGATGGCAACGACAGTTACAGGTCTGCTCTTGTGAAGTCCGTTCAGAATTTAACATCTAATTTATGAGGTCTCTGTTGCTGAGGTAGCATTTATTGCAGTCATTTTCAACTTTGGCAATTTAAAGATGTGTGGATTTTAACTTCCAGAATTCCCCAGCCAGGCTTGTTTTGTGGGGAATTTTGCCTTGAGGCCAGATTTCTGTTTCTGCCTTAAAATAATATTTTTGTCTGTTTTTTTCTCAATCTCATAATTGTAAATGTTGACATATTCTCTGCCCAAATAGTTTTAATTTACAGATATTTTGAAGAGTAATAGTTTCAATTACTACAATGTTTAGATAGAATAAACACAATGTAAAATCAATATTTTTAATATTGTGGGGTCAAGCATAGATCTTGTGCTGTATAACAAATGTTTTTCTTTGGTTCAGTAATGCCTGATTTATTTATTTTAATCTTGCCTTTATTATTTTTATAAATAACTCAAGGTTGCAAACACACCTAATACTCCTATTTTCTCCATAGCAACATTCCTATGAGATGAATTGGGATGAGAGAGTGAGTGGTCCAAAGTCACTCAGGTGGCTTTCAGACCTAAGGTGGAACTAGAATTCTCAGTCTCCCGGTTTCTAGTCTGGTGCCTTCACAACTTAAGTGTTAATTCATTCAGTTCTTGAGGAATGCCTTTTCTTGGCAAAGTTTTTCAAAAACATTTGCCATTGCCTTCTTCCTAAGGCTGAAAGAAAGTTACTGCCCCAAGGTCACCCAGCTGGCTTTGTGCCTAAGGCACAAGATTAGAACTCACACTTTCTTGGTTTCTAGTCTAATGCCTTAACCACCACACCAAACTGGTTCTCATATAATAAATATAATATAATATTATTTATATAGTACTAGGGTATATGGTTGTATACTCATTTTGACTGGTACTTGCATTTTGTATTCATAACAGCAAGTTAATCTGGGGAAATCAAGAGCCAATATGGCCCCTCTCCTCAAGGACTTTGCTGAGACAGCCCAGCTCAAGAATCCTGACTCTGGCAAGGCCAAGGGAAACAGCTGATAAACAGAAGAGGTGTGCTTTTATGCCTGTCCTTTTTTGTTTCTCTCTCTGTCTTGATCTTCTTCATTCCATGCCACTTAAGTCAAAATGTTTTAATCAAATTTCCTAAACAGTAACTACCTATAGTATAGAGCAAATTATTTTTTTAAAAAGTTTTATTGATTTTCCAGTTTTACATTTAAGTATTTAAAAAGCATGGCGGCTGAGTTAATCAATAATTCAATAACATACAAGTGTCTTTAGTACAAATCTCAAACCACCACGTTAAATATTACCTCTTTTTCCCTTAGTATTTACTGTCTCATGTTTAAACTAATACAATTCTTATTATATCAATTAAGTAAAAATAACTTTGTTACATTTATCAATAGTTTTTAGCATACATATCTTAATTGCTTTAACATTCAATCTTTATAGACAATCAATATTCTGTAATTAGTTTTTTCCAATTTTTAGTTTCCCATCAATATTTAAATTTAACATTTAATATTTATAATTTCCAAGTTTTAGGTAACCAAAGCTTCCTTTACCACAATTCATCACAAAACCTAATGTTCAAGATACATGTCCCATCTATTTGAATATATTCTATTTCTCACCATCTTACATCATCTAGTTGATAATACAGTATAACATTCGTATTTTCTACTAATTTCCAAATATCTTAAATTTAATGACCAAAATTTCCCTTATTTCAACATCAAATACTTCCTCTCTTTTCCTCTTAATATCTACTATCTCATATTTAAACTAATACAGTTCTTATTTTATCAACTACGTAAAGACATTTTATTACATTTATCAAAATCTTTTAGCATATATATCTTAATTACTTTTACATTCAATCTTTATAGACAATCAATATCCTATTTATTTGTTTTCCCCAATTTTTAATTTTCCATCAATATTCAAATTTAATTTTTGATATTTATACTTCCAAGTTGTAAATGACCAAAATTTTCTTTTTCTCAATTCATAGCATAATCTAGTATTCAAAGTACACATCTTGTCTGTTTGAGTATATTCTATTTTAATTAATGACATAACATCCTCACTAATAAATCCAAACCCCAATTTTCTTCAGTCTTACCTAGCTTGCTTTCTTTGCCAACTCGCCTTCCATGTCCGTGCTTTTAAATCATCAAATAGATCTCCCTTTGTTATTGTATATATTATTTGAAATAAAAGAGACCATCCAATCGCCAGTCTTTTGGAAGGACTAACCAATTGTCTCTATTATTCTAACTCCCTGTAGTTGTCCTGGAATGTTTATCTTCCCTTCGGTCTGTTCTTCTTCTTGCTCCTCAGATTTCTTCTGGTTTATATAAAAAGTCTTTTCCATTTTCAGTGTTATCAGTCCCTTTTATGAGTTTTCCATTAATTGTGTTTGTTGGTCCATAGTATTTGATTGTTACACTTCTTCTATTGTGTTCTGCATAGTTGATTCTTTAATTGTAGTCAAAGTTAGGGTTTGAATATCTAGGCTGACATCTTTTCTATAGCGTCTTATTTCGTCAGAAGCTGTAAGAATAGTTTCAACATAGAAAGAATCTGTTCCCGATCTTCATCCATATTCTCTTAGTGGTATATTAAATTAAAAGCTTTACAATCAGGAGATGAAAATAATTTTATCACTGGGTATAGAACACAGTTGAGCTTCTCACAGCTGATATCTGCCAAGGTTAAAGGAGTCTTATCTGTAGTCTGGACTTCAAGCAAAGTCTCTTTTAGACAATAACAGGTTGTAGTATCAGATTTAGCCACAAGATGTCACCAATGCCATTTAAGGTTTTTTAAGTCCAAAATTTTTATAATTCTTTTTCCAATTTTACTTCTTTTTTGTAAGTAAAAACCCAAATCTTCAATAGGGATAAGAAATCTTTTGGTCCCCAAATTTTAGAAACATATAAATCCAGTTAAAATAAGGTTATTCTTTCAACATTTTAAACTCCTCTGGATAGTCAGTCGCCGCTGCTCTTAGAGGGTGGGATAGGATTTCCCTTCCCTCTCTCCACAGGGCGGAAAATACTTTGGGCAGCTTATACATGTAAAAAAGATAGTTAGGATTGAAGAGAGGTTCAGATCTCACCTAGTCTCATCCACGCTGCTTTAGAAGTGCCTGGTAGTAAGTTTGACTTCGGCTGTCTGCAGCCTAATAATGGGCCATATTTCTATGGCTGGTCTTTCATCTGCTGGTTTGGAGGGCTGCCCCAGATCAAGCGGAAGGGCTACCACCCTCCCGCAATTAAGCAGGGATCCCCTCCTTGCTTGTCGCTCCTACAGGGCGACTTTCGACCCTTTCCAGGGTCCCCCAGCGGTGCGAAATCGAACGCGGAAGATGGAGCTTGCCTTCCAGCGTCCATGGCGTCCATGATGGCAAACTGGAAGTCAGTATATATCAAATTTCTTTTGAAATCAAGGAAATGTTATCTTTGGTTTATATGGACCAACGAAAGGTTTTGTCTGAGGAAAGTTCCTCAGATGCAGCTTTTGATATGGGATGGTTAAATATTTGACACAAAAGTCAAATATTTAAGAATAGTCATTTTGCCTTCTATGTCCCATGTAAAAGAGCTAAAGTCAGCTGCTACTTTTCCTACCCTTTGGTTCTACCGCCTCTTGCTCATTGGGCAATCAGTGGATCAAATATCAATATGTGTTAATTTAATTTTTTTCTCTCCATAATGGAGTTCTTTGGTGTGTAGAAAACAGGAAAGAAAAAGAATGGGGCGAAACAGTGAAAAAAACACAATACTATTAACAAACAGAAGACAATATTACCTAGGGTACTCCTAAGATTCTACAAAAGATGGAGAACTTATGCAGAACCATTTTAAGATCTAACCAGGACATGTAATAGCCAGGAGAGGAAGCCATCAGGAAAGGACCAGAAATCCAGTGTTTACTGCCAAGCAGCAGAGATTGTTTGAAATAACTATTTGTATTCCAAGAAAGACTATATCAATTTGTAGTTTTGGAAAAAAATATCCCACATACAAAGGGAATATTTTTCTACTTATGGAAGAAAATATTTGTTTAGGGTTGAACTGTGGAGTCCTTGGTGCTCTCTGAGCTTGATTGTTTTCTTGCAGATGTTTAATTACTTAACTAGATAATGTCTTTAGTATTAGTAGTACTAAAATGTTGCCTAGTATAAAATGTCTGCAAAAAAGCAATCAAGCTCAGAGAGCACCAAGGATTCCACTTTTCTACTTCCTAGAGAAAAAGTCCTTGATTAAAATGTCTTGGTAGAAGGATAAAGCGGTTCAATAAAAATAAGAACTACTCGGTGACTATTTTTTTTGGTTAGGAACTCAGAATGATGAGTTAATCATTCTTTCAACACTTTAATATACTAAGTTGGATACAGCAGGTGATATTTCTCAACTAACAGATGTCCACTATCTATATAGGAAATGGTAATTAGCATGCTGCTTTTTTTTGTCAGCCCAGTACTGCATCTTGAGCATGATACTTAAATTGAAGGATTGGCAGAGGGAGATTCTGGGCATTTGGAAGAGGACTTGGGAAGCAGCAACCTCACCAACTGGTAAACAGATTGCCCATATATGGACCTGATTCAACTTATTGAGGGCCTGATGCAGTGCAGGGGTGGAGTACTATTGCATGGCAAATCTGAAATTTGGTTGGCAGATTTCTGAAAGAAGATCTCCCTCTTCCTCCCCATCCTTACTCAGATTTCAATAAATAGACCAGTTTAGTGCTGAAGTCCCATTGATTTCAGAGAATGAGCTACTTAAGTATGAAAGAACCTCTCTCACACTAAAATCATTGGGATCAAACCATCATTTGGTGTCCACTACTGTACATTGTTTTGTCTGGGTATTGGAGATGTTGCTTTGCTTACTGTTGCTTCCATTCAATAAATACTGTGTTTGTCCCTAATGCTCCAGACATTGCTTTGGTGCTCAAATCAGCACCTATTTTTTCAGGATACATAAGCACTACTAATTTAAAGGAACAAACCTATTTGAAATTGAAATCCTAACATTCCTTGAGGGGGGACTTAAGAACCATTGTCACTCACCAGTGTAGATATTGTTAAAAAAATATTAATATGATGTAGAATCTAATTAATATCTCCTACATTGTAGTTTCAACTGCCAAATGCAAAAAGTTGAGAAAATAATAGTTTTGATTAATAATAATGAATTTCCTCAATATGAAATACAGTTTTGATGCCAAAAAGGATACATGAAAAGGGTGCAGAGTAACTTCAGACCATAATAGTAAAATTTATTGTTCACAAAAAGGGTGTAGCATTTATCTTGACTGCTAGCACCAGCAAGATTGACTCATCGAATAAGCATCTGTTTATTCTGGAATAGCTGGATGTTTTAATTTGAATCCCAGTCTGACACTGAATGCTTTCGAGTACCAGAACATGTAGCAACAATGGAACAATTCTTGAAATGATTTAAGCACAGCTTGTGAAATTAATAAATGTATTTACTTTGTCCTGAACTTTCTTCCAAATCTCCTATTTACACTAGGGGGCAGAGGTAGGAAATGTAAGTGTATGTATATATAGGCATGGAAAAGTGCTTGCCACAATTCTGTAGAATAGCATAAAAATGAACCAAATATTAATAAGCCTAAATTCAAGCTTCAGGATGATTAAATAAAAGGCAGACAAACAGCATATCTGTAGGGGATGACCAAGCTGAGTCCAAGGGAGGGGGTCAAATGCGTTATCAGTCATGAGTCCCTTCTGTACCCACATAAGAGATCAAAGTCCAGTCAACCTTGAATTCCTTTAACTCTTCTCTACCTCTAATTTGTTTTGGCCTTTGTAGTTCAGATTCTTGTAGAGAGCTTTATTTATTCTTGCAATAAATCTTTATAACCATTTGAACTGCCTGGATCTTCTGATTTCCCTGGTGCTTGACATTAATCTGAACTACTAAGGGCCAAAACAAATTGGCGGTAGATAAGAGTCAAAGAAATTAAAGGTGGGCTGGACTTAGATCTCTGGTGGGCACGAAGGTACTCATGACTGATGACATGTTTGACTCCTCCCTCAGGCTCAGCCTGGTCATCTCCTGCAACACCTGTAATTAAAGCACAGCATAAACAGGTTGGTGAAAAACATTTAATTTTAAAAAATGTTCTTTTAATTTAAGGAAAGAAATTATTATTGCTTCTTTCTAATACATCCAAAAGGAATATAAGAAGCTAAACTATTATTACTTTTTAATTACAAAATTTTATTGAATATACCAGTGGTGGCGAACCTATGGCACGGGTGCCAGAGGCGGCACTCAGAGCCCTCTCTGTGGGCACGCACGCCGTCACCCAAGTCCTAGGCCTTCAGCTGGGTTTTATAAAACCTTTTCACTTTAGGCCTCCACCGCCATGTACAAAAAAAAAGGTTCAATCAATCAGTCAATTTCAACTTCTCGTGGGAAAAAAAAAATCTTGCAAAGTTGGAATTGATTAAACTTTTTAGTCCCACCCAGTCTGTTGTTACCACCTCAGCCACACCCACCCAATGGGCCACGCCCACCCGGCACCTGACGATGCATAAGTGGGTTTTGGGTTGCAGTTTGGGCACTCGGTCTCTAAAAGATTCGCCATCACTGGAATATACAATTAAAAAACACAAAAGACACATTAAACATAATACAATTAAAGACAAAAAAGACACATTGGACATGATACAATTTCCCTGTTTAAACGATACTATTAATATTACTTTACATTAAGTTATTACATTGTTACACAGTGCGCATTCTTTCAATAAAGTACATCCTAGTTAAATAACTTTTGGTTCTATCTGATATAACAAATATTAAAATAAGAATTTCTAGGTTATATACTTAATCATCAGTCTTTGTCCCAGCGTATCTCTTTAAATCCAACCAATTATACACTTTATTCCAAATTTCAAAGTATTCTGTTTCTGTTTTATTTTTGAGCTCTAATGTCAGTCTGTCCATTTCCGCACAGGATAGAATTTTGTTTAGTAGTTCTTCTTCGGGGGGGGTGGTGTCTTTTCTTTTCCAATTTTGAGCATATGTTAATCTTGCTGCGGTTAAAATGTGCAGAATTAAATATAAAGCTCCTTTGCTGAATTTATCCATAGTGGTCCCTAATAAAAAAAGTTCTGGTTTTACTTCAGTTTTTAATGATAGTATCTCTTCTAACCAATTCTTTATCAAGTGCCAAAATTTTCGAGCTTCTGAGCATTCCCACCACATATGATAGTAAGTCCCTGGTATTTTCCTACATTTCCAACATAATGGTGAAGATTTTTTGCCTATTTTTGCTAGCCTTATAGGGGGGAGGTGCCACCTATAAAACATCTTGTATAAGTTTTCTTTGTAAGTAGTAGCTAATGTTAATCTCCTATTCCTGTCCCATAGTAGTTGCCAATAATCTGACTCGATATTATAGCCAAAGTTTTTATTCCAAATTAACATTGTATCTTTTACCTGTTTTGCTGGCATACTTTGTTCTAATAAATATTGGTAAATCTTTTTTATCATTTTGTCTTCAGTTCCTAGCAGAATTTTGTCTAGTTCTGTATATTCTAATTTAATCCCAGGTTCTTTTTTTATCTTTTCTATATCGTGCTTGTATTTGCAAGTATGCCCACCATTCCAACTCTATGTCATCTTCTAATAGTTCCCCTCTTGTTTTCAATTCTCCGGTCTCATCTAGAATGTTTTTATATGTAATTACCTTTCCCAGGTTCATAAATTTTGGGTGCAAAAAAATCTCCAATTGGGTATTTTCATGTAATTAGATTTTTTAATTTTAATCCACAAATCTAGTAGTGCTCGTCTAATATAATGTTTCTGGAAGTACTGGTGTGCTTTGTATTTCCCATCCCATAGTATTGCATGCCACCCTGTCTGCATGTAGAAGCTAAACTATTATAATTGCTCTTTTCAGCTAAGGAAATCACAGCTTTCTATAAGATGGAGCTGTGCAGATAGCAATAGCATCATTATGACCTTGAGTAATTGAAGTTGCAGTTGAAGTGACCAGAAGCAGTAGAGCAAAGAAAAACATAGAATGGCCTTTTTACTTTAGACTTATCCTGTTTCTACTATTTCACTTATCCTTGTGGTTTTTCTATAGGTCCCTCTTCGTGTTCAGCTGTGGTCAAATGTCAGAGATTTGGAAACGTTCTTCAACAGTGTATTCTGCAATGCCGACAAAGCGATTGCTGAAGCTAGCAGAACCTAGGCCAATTTCTGCAACTTATCTGAAACTAAGGTGAGGCTCTAACACTAATGAGTTTTTCTAATTGCCACAGGCCAGTGGGATTTTCGATGTAGAAATTCAGGCAAGAAAGCCTTTGTAAAATAGGCTGATATTCTAATATAAAATCAGTTCAGCTCTCCATATTCCTGAGGTCAGGGTTTGGTCAGTAACAGTTCCGGTCTTTAAAAAAAATATTAACAAATATGATCTAGCAAATTTCTGCCCGATTCATCTCTTTAATATAGTTAATAGAGTTTACAGGTTATACTCGACTTACGATCACAATAGAGCCCAAAATTTCTGTAGCTAATTAAGAGAGTTGTTAAGTGACCTTTGCCCCATTTTACATCTTTTTGCTATAGTTGTTTTGCAAATCACTGCAGTTGTTAAGTGAATCATGCAGTCATTAAGCAAATCTGACTTTCCTCTTTGACTTTGCTTGTCAGAAGGGCAGCTGGGAAGGTGACAAATGGTGATTACATGACCCTGGGATGGTGTCATTGTCATAAATACATGCCGGTTGCCAAGCAGCTATATTTTGGCCATGTGACTGTGGCGATGCTGCAACTGTTGTTAAGTGTGAAAAACGTTCATAAGTCACTTTTTTCAGTGCCATTGTAACTTCAAACGGTCACTAAATGAGTGGATGTAAGTCAAGGACTACTTGTACACTAACAACCTCTCTAAACAGTCCATCACAAGGCTTTGGCTAAGCAACAGGCTAGATCGAGACTGGGATGGTCTACTTATGATGTCTGTTTAATGTGATTTTGTGAACTTTGCATTCTTTAAAACTCTTTTATTGGTGCAAATATTTGTTGCTGTTACTCTCTGTACAGTCTTCATTTGGTGTGCATATTCTTTGACAGGTGGTCAAGAGCATAAATAAAGCTAAATTAAATATTTCATCAGATGTTAGCTATCTGCAGAATCTCCACATTTTCTTGCACAATTACATAGTCACATAGGACACCAGTAATTTGTTTCTGAAAATAATATGTGGGAAATTCCAGGTACATGTTTCCTTAATATGCAGAGGGCAGCCAGTTTTCCATCTGGGGAAAGTCTAAATGGGAAGAAGTCATGTAATTAGCGGGAAAGGTTGTGCTTCGGTTGTGTTCCTCCTATTGCTATCTATTTGTTACTATCTATTCGTGAATGGGTCTATGGAGATGGTGATAATGGAAGAACCAAAGATGATTTTTATGAAAATCTGAATTAAGATGATTAAGGAGAAAAAAAAAATCTATTAGGCAACATGAGTGGATAGGTGGGAATGAAATGAAAGGAGAGAGAAAAAGTTACAGAGGGTCCCAAAACTGAATGTGAATGATTAGTTTTTGGGAATTGCTAGGTATGGTGGCTCAGCTCTACTCTCAACTGGTTTGCAAATTTAACAGTCAGCTCCCATGAACCCATATGAGCCAGCACACCTCTGTGAAGATAATATAAAAGAATGATTGCTGTAAAAAATAAGGATTACAGAAAGTAATTGCATGACGTATGCAGAGAGAAAAAAGACAATTGCAAAGGATGTGGTCAAAGAGAACCCAAGAACAGTTTCAGATGAACAAAGCAATGAAAATACAGTCATTTTGATTTATTTTTTTTTTAAAAAAATTGGAAGTCGGTGAAAAGGGCTAAACACAGAACCTTGAATTAACAATAAAATGGATGATTTGGGATGAAATTGAAGTGAAGGAATGTGGGAAGGAGAGTTTCAGTGATATGCATGAAAATGATGGTGATATGTTGAAGAATACAGTTGCTTTCCATGCTGATGATCAAGAAAAAAAATGATATGCAATATAAATAAATATATTGTGAGAATACCGTTAGACAGTTAAAGCTAACTGTGAGGATACCTGGTATTTTGACACTTTTTAGCCACATTATACTACAAGCATGTTCAGGCAAACTTCTGATCTCTAAAAATTGCTATATAAGCCAACATGTTCTTGGCCACATCAAGAAGGAAACTTGCAGTTTCTGACATTGTTTCCGAATGCTCAGTAAAAAGATACATTCAATGACTGAAAACTGTGTAAATTATTATCAGACAAAATTTAACTTCACAGGAATGTGTCTGAAGGAACTACAGTGTTTACAACATGTCACATGTTTTAATTTTAAATACTTGAGAATGAGATCAAGAAAGTATGTTCACCATAGTAAGTGAAATAGCCAGCAGTGTGCTGCAGCTGCCAAAAAAGCCAACACAGTGCTAGGCTGCATTAACGGAGGGATAGAATCAAGATCACGTGAAGTATTAATACCACTTTACAATGCCTTAGTAAGGCCACACTTGGAATACTGCATCCAGTTTTGGTCACCACGATGTAAAAAAGATGTTGAAACTCCAGAAAGAGTACAGAGAAGAGCAACAAAGATGATTAGGGGACTGGAGGCTAAAACATATAAGGAACAGTTGCTGGAATTGGGTATGTCTAATGAAGAGAAGGACGAGGGGGGGCATGATAGCAGTGTTCCAATATCTCAGGGGTTGCCACAAACAAAAGGGAGTCAAGCTATTTTCCAAAGCGCCTGAAGGCAGGACAAGAAGCAATGGATGGAAGCTAACCAAAGAGAGAAGTAACCTAGAACTAAGGAGAAACTTCCTGACAGTTAGAACAATTAACCAGTGGAACAACCTGCCTCGAGAAGCGGTGAATGCTCCAAAACTGGAGGTTTTAAAGAAGAAACTGGCCAGCCATTTGTCTAAAATGGTATAGGGTTACCTGCCTGAGCAGGGGGTTGGACCTGATGACCTCTAAGGTCCCTTCCAACTTTATTATTATTATTATTATTATTATTATTATTATTATTATTATTATTATTATTATTATTATTATTAATCTACAGGCCACGAAGTTCCCCTGTGTGGCCTGTCTGCTCCTCAGCACTTTGTTCCAGAGCTTCTCAACGGATTTTGACCCTTGCTCAACCGAGAACTATCCATCCAAACTTTAGTTTTCCAGAACAGGTAATTATGAAATAAAGTCAATCAGTAAAAATGATTTGAGTACATTTTTCTGCATGTATGATGCAGAGAACCATGTTAATTTAATTTAATGCTTTTAATTCAGTCATGGGGGAAAACCAGAAAACTAGAAGGGGATATGCACAAGTTCTCTCTGCAAGTTCTCTTCTCAGTTCTTCACTTTTTAAAGAAGTGTGTGTGGTCTGGAGAGGCCTCTACGAGTAGTCCTTGTTTAGCAACTACAATTGAGTCTGACAACTTGGTCATTAAGCAAAGTGGTGGCTAAGTGAGACTGTGACTGTGCTTATGAACTTACGTCACCTCTCCTTTGCTTAACAGATCTGTGGAAGTCATAAATGGGAGGATCACAAAGTTACTTTTTCATCACTGTCATAACTGCAAATGGTTACCAAACAAGGAGGTTGCTAACATATGATTGTCCAGCTGTTTATTTATCCTCACAAGTTTCTCTAGCATAGTTCAGTGCTTTAACCCTCCTGAAGGGAAATTTGATAGTCACCTAATTGATCAAAATCCTAGGCCCATCTTAGATAAAATAGATTTAGTGGGTCATGTTATACCTTCATGTTCTACATAATAGTCAGGACATTTTTTCTTTTTTCTACATTTTTTTACAGTCACTGACCAGCAATTTTATATAATGTACATAGAAATGTTACAAGACTCCAATTAGATGACTAATAGAAATAAATTAAATTAGATGACTAATAGAAATAAAATGATTCACCCTAGAAACACTACCTATAGAATATGAAAAAAATCTAAATACTTAAAACTAATTGACTAAATTATAAAACTACCCTATGGGAAAAAATGGGAACACTCTGAAGTGAAACTTGAGTCTTAGATTCCAGGATCTGATCATGGTACACTATGAGTCAGGAATAAAAACAACTAAATCTAAAATTCAAAAGTATGCAAAGAGTATTGATCCAAATAAGAGAGAGCTTATAAAAATATAAGATTTAAGCTACAGTATAGGCTTTTGAAAAATAATTTATTTACCTTCTGATATTGAAGGCTCAAATCCTTTGCCTGATTGTTTAGAACAGGGGTCCTCAACCTTGGCAACTTTCAGACTTGTGGACTTCAACTCCCAGAATTCCTCAAAGCTGGCTGAGGAATTCTGGGAGTCGAACTTCAGAAGTCTTAAAGTTGCCAAGGTTGAGGACCCCTGGTTTAGAATAATGCCTACAAGAGTCTCTTATGCTTTCTTCAGATTGTGATGTAGAGATCTGAGAGGCACTTGAGTTAAATGTTGCAGAAAGTGTTGCTCCTCTCATTAAGTTTGCAAAACTGACCATCTTGAGACTTGCTTTTCAAGAAAATATGTGGATTTTCTGAAGCTCAAGAATCACAGGATCTAAATCTTCATGGATCTACTGTTTTCTGTGGTCCCTTTAAGAAAATAGTTTGATCCAACATACAGTTTAGCCAAAATTGTTTGTTCTTGTCTTCTTTTCTGAAGATATTGAAGGTTCCCCCCCCAAATCTCTGCCATCCCTTTGCACAGAAACTATGAGGTAATCTCCCCCCCCCCAAGATGAGCAGATGCTGGGTTCAATGCCAGTTATGCTTCCATAATACAATGGATGGTTTATTTGTTTTTTCCCCTTTTGGGGAGGGTTGGTAGATAACTTGATTGTCATATTCCTATGGCAAATTTGCATGATCGTACAAAAATAATCTTGAAGCAAGTTAAAGTTTTCAAAAATGGTTACCATGTCTTTTGGTCATTTAATTGTAGCTGAAGATCTAAACCTTGTTATATATTTTCAATGTATTTATAATCAAATTTGATGCAAGCTTACATGCAAGAATTTAAATTAAAGGATACTTGATAGCTCTATCATCCTATAAAAAGAAAGTATCCTTTTTCCCCCCTCTTCTCACAGGACCTATTTTAGACTGGATTATGTTTTTATTTCTTCTTCTTTACTTGACAAAGTTTCCAATTCAAAAATTTACTTTAGATATTTTTGATATAATAATCCAAGATTGATTGTGCTAAACTAGCATCTTTGGATGTTTGAAACACTTTTGTTATAGTTCAAATTATTTGTTTAAAGTGAGTTATGTCTAGATACGGTCTCTTAAATAAAATAGATTGTGTGACTTGCAACCAATAGCAAGAATAATAAATCATTTAATTTCTGAACCAAATGAGTTACAGAGTGGCACCTTTCAGGGTTATCCACTTGCTTGCTTTGATTCAATTGCTGAATCATTAGCAATTATTGTTAATCAGTCTTGCAATATCTTTAGAATTACAATGGTGGACTCAGTATAATCTTTTTTTCTTTGCTAATGATATTCTGGCAATACTGGATAATTTTTTACATCATTGCCTAATTTGAAATGAGTAGTTTCAACAGTTTCAAAAATATTCAGATTATAAGTTTAACTGGAAAATATTCAAATTATTTCCTTTAGGATCTGAGGTATCAATAGATCCTTAAGACGTTGTGATTTGTCATACGGACAGAATATATTAAATATTCTAAAGACTCCCTTTCTCAAGAGGCCATCCTTGGACCTCACCATATTGGACAACTTCTATCCAACTTCCAATCTTGCCTTTTTGGGGTAGATCGTTGAGAGGGTGGGAATTGTTCAGCTTCAAAAAGCTGGAAGCTGGAAGAAGCTTACCCAGTCCCTGGAGACTGTGAAAATCTGGGTGGGGAGGAAGCAACTATGACTCAGGATGGAGTGATTCTGGGGTTTTCGGTTTTCTGAATCAAGAAAATTATCATCTTCAATTCTTGATAGGGTAACATTCCAAGATTGCCAGAAGACAAAGGTTTTAAAATATTGTTTGATTTTTGAAATTGAAATTAATCCATCAAATGTCTATAGAACTCCTCAAAAATGTGCCACAAATGATGAATTGTAGATTTTCTCTGATGATGATGCAAACAATCTGAGGATAAGCTGTATTAACTCATATGATTTGGTCATGTCCAGTTTTGGTTTCCTTTTGGGAAACTATTATCACATGTATAAGCAGATGTATGAAAAACATTTCCAAATGATTGATGTCAATATTATATTAAAATATATTCCAAAATGGCAGAATCTGGCTATTTTAGAGGAGTGTTGGTCGTAATGCCTGTGGAGACTACCCAAGGGAATATAAACAGATTGAAAAAGTAATATTATTCCAGATATCAAAGACTGGGTTCAATAATTATTTTATTTGTATTATGAACTTACTTTATATTTTTCTACTACAGGTAATAAAAATACAAAATACATTTTCTTTGGTATATATCTTATAATATTTTACAAAAAAGGCAATTGTTATGCATTTAATTTAATATTAAAGCTTATAAAGGTTGTGATATTTAGGGGATTTATATTCATTCATTTTTTTAATTGCTCATCTCCCTATTACGTTTGCAGGATTTTTTTCTATTTATGTATTTATTGTTTTCTATTTTGTTTGGGCATTACAAATCTATTGCAATTCTTGGTAACTAATTTCATTATTCTTTTCTTTTAATTTGTTTTTGTATGCTTTATTTCAAATTGTACTTGAAAGAGATCCATTGGAGAGAGGCAGGCAGTTTGTGCACAGTTGTTAGAGAAGATGTTATTGGAGATTGTTTCCCAGGATTTTTGCTGTCCATCCAGAGGTCAAGGTTATCTTTCATCGATGGAATGACAGTGCCATTGAGATCTGGCCATTTCTTTAATTGAGTCATTTAGGTATACTGAATGACTAAATTTAATTTAGACTTTATTAAAAGATACCCATGCAGCAAGGGTCTGCTTTCTCTTGGATCAACTTCACTACTTTTCCAAGACCTTCAATTTTGGATCAGGTCTCTGACTTTCAGCTTTAGCTGATCTGCTGTAAGAGTTAGTTCACTTTCAAAAGAACTAAATGGTGATCTTATTCTGGAGGACTGCTTAATGCAGTGATGGCGAACCTTTTAGAGACCGAGTGCCCAAACTGCAACCCAAAACCCACTTATTTATCGCCGGGTGCCAGGTGGGCGTGGCCCACTGGATGGGCATGACTTTAGTGATCATGGCAGATTGGGTGGGTGTGGCCAAGGTGGGCGTGATCACCTCAATGTTGCTTGTGGGGAGGGATGCCTGTGGGAGCCAGGCATGGTTGGGGGAGATCCAGAGGGTCTCTGGCAGATGGGGCGGTTGGCAGGAGGCTCGTCCTGCGGGGTGAGGCAAGGCAAGGTGAGGCAGGGCGGGGGTGCCATTGTCACAGGGCAAGGTGAGGCAGGGGCCGGGGCGGCTGCTGCCTGACACCATCGGCCCCTGCACACAGAGGCCAGCGAGCACATGGGTGCTGGGATGCATCCAGCCACGTGGGACCTTGGCGAATTAGTGGGTGGCTGGTTGAAGAGGGACGGTTGCCGTCTCCGGGGCATGGCGCGCATGCCCACAGAGAGGGCTCTGAGTGCCACCTCTGGCACGTGTGCCATAGGTTCGCCACCACTGACTTAGTGAATCTTCCTCTAGTTAAAGACAGAGATGATAAGAGAAACTTGACAGTTGTCTGAATTAAGCATACCATTTTGTAGTGTATGAGTTTGTGTAATATTTTTAGGAGAAATCTCATGTTTTGATCAATAACTATCTGAATGCAGAAAATTCCAAAGCATTTAGGAAGATCTTCATTTAATAGGAATATGGATGGTATTATTGAATTGCTGAAGAACCACCAAATCCTTTTTCCGCCATTCTGTTGCGAAGCCAGACAGTAAGAACAAAGTCAGCAGCAAGTGGCTATTAGTGAAGTAGTAGATGGCTTAGAGAAAAACAAACAGAGGCTGTAGAACCCCATCTTCCTGCATTGATGCTGTTATTAAGAACAGAGAGAACTAGTTATTCATGTTAATATGTGAAAGCAGAGGGTTTTTGTTCTTTGGAATGAAGGAGCACAATAATTACTGTTTTCAATCTGCTTATAAATTAGTAAAGTATCTTTCTGAGAATCAAAAAGGTGATGTGCTTTCTGT